TCAGGCTTAGGAAGTATAACTTTAGAAGCCACCTTGTGACTTTCATGGCTCAGTGGAGACTAGAAACGGCATCTCCCGAGTTCCAGTCCAACACCTGACCCACTAAACCACACGGTCTTACAAGGGCCGTCCTGTGCCTTTGGTAGGGATGTCACTTTGATTTTAGGATTCTAATCCTGTTGTCCAAGACATGCTGCATACAGCTGGTTTTCCACCTCACTCCTATCTCTTGCAGGGGTTGGAATGACGCTGGCAGTGTGTACGGAGCCATCCCTTCTCCCAGATGATGGAACGAAAGCAGAAGAGGTGAGAGAACGATCTGTAGGAGGTCGGGCAGGGAGCAGCCTGACTGTTTCTTCCCCAGCTTGCCTTTCTGGGAAGGAAGGGGGAGTGTTTCTCTGTATTATGTTTTAGAGGAAAGGTTCCAAACATTCATGGATTTCTTAAGGTATTATCTGCTAAGAAGTTGAGAAATAATGCATTTGAATGTGGGAGAAATGAAAATTGAAAAACGTATTCATCCATATTCACAAACTGGTTCATACATGTACAGGGATCTGAGTGCATTTCATCTTATTTAATCATTTGGCTCATGTTTGTACTTATTTTTGTGAGAAATATATGCTTTTTGCCCCTTCCATCCAGTGTCCAGTAACCTTTGGAGAGGTGGCCGTGTGTTTCACCCAGGAGGAGTGGGCGCTGATGGATCCTGACCAAAGGGCCCTCCACAGGGAAGTCATGGAAGAGAACTGGAGGATCGTGGCCTCTCCTTCCATGCCTGATATTATCTGCACTGACCATGAACAAAATCGCATTTCTGAGCCACAGCAAGACCACAAGTCATCCGACCGCTTGGGAAATGTTAAGAGAGAGCCGGGATATTCTGGTAAGTAGTTGAACTCTATCTCCCATCAGTCAAAGCCAGCCCTGCTAACAAGGAGACATGGTTGGAGCCGTGATTCATCAGGATCTGGAAGACCAAATGTCTCCCACTCTTTAGGGGATTCTGGCAAGGCACCACTTTGAAAAGGAAGAATTTCATAATGGAACAGTGAGAATATCCCCATGGGGATGGGTGAGAGGGATGGGCTAAAGCAGAAATTTCTTTTCCCTGCTGTTTGAAGAAAAATGGAAGGTAGAACAGCTGTAAGTGCATTTTCAAATTGGTGAACTGAGCTAAGAATGGAATTTATTTAATACAGAAACAGAATCTGGCTTATACTGAGGAAGCAGAATTAGAAAGTCTTCTAGTCTAAGCCATATTTTTGACGCCTTACACGTTTGAACACAGTGCCTTCATACCTAAAAATAAAATTGAATCCTCAGTGTGAAGGTTTTCTTTTACACATCTAATGCTGTCCTTTTCTTAGGCCCCCCCCCTTTTTTTGAGAAAGTCTTAGAGGAAGGTTGTTGTGGGTTTTTCGGGCTCTTTGGCCGTGTTCTGAAGGTTGTTCTTCCTAGCGTTTTGCCAGTCTATGTGGTACCACTTTGAAAAGGAAGGATTTTATAATGAAAAGGTGTATATTCCCACGGGGATGGGTGAGTTGTTGTCCTTTGTTGTTTAGTCGTTAAGTCGTTTCCGACTCTTCGTGACGCCATGGACCATAGCACGATAGGCCCTCCTGTTTTTCACTGTCTCCTGGAGTTGGGTTAAATTCATCTTAGTAGTCAAACCATTTCAGTCCAGGAACTCTCAAGAGCCTCCTCCCGCACCACATCTAATGTTGTCCTATATGTAGACCTTTTTTTTAAAGAAAGTCTTGGAGGAAGGAATTGTATTTCAATGTGGTGCTGGAGGAGGCTCTTGAGAGTTTGTCAGAGTCCAGCTCTAACATCAGTAAATGGGAGAGTACTCTGAAGAAAAACAATGGAGACTGCAGTCAGGGATTCAAGAATGAAGCGTGCTCGGTCGTGCCTGTAGGAAAAGCAAACTTACTTGGCCACGCCCGGCTCCTCCCTTTATTCAGAACTCAGGTTACACAGGAAATACATTGCAACCAATGCGGCATCAAGTATATTCTGCCTAGCAACAACTGACACATGCATAGTGGCGCAGTAGTTAAAACTGCCGCTAAAAAAACCTGTGCTCACGACCTGGAGTTCAAATCCCAGGTAGCCGGCTCAAGGTTGACTCAGCCTTCTATCCTTCCGAGGTCGGTAAAATGAGTACCCAGCTCGCTGGGGGGGGGGCAATGTGTAGCCTGTATAATTAAATTGTAAACTGCCCAGAGAGTGCTTGTAGCGCTATGGGGCGGTATATAAGTCCAATAAATAAATAAATAAATATTAACTGTATTAAAAAGCTAGGCATTCAGCTGATACATTCTTCTGCCTAGGTGACCTCCTTGCTCAGCTTTAATGGTCAGCAGACTCCCACAAGAGTCCCCTGGACTGCAAGGAGAACAAACCTTTCTAAAGGAAATCTCAACCCTGAGTGCTCACTGGAAGGGTAGATCATGAAGCGGAGGCTCCAATACTTGGCCATCTCATGAGAAAAGAAGACTCCCTGGAAAAAACCCTGATGTTCAGAAAAAGTGAAGGCAAGAGGAGAAAGGGACAACAGAGGATGAGATGGTTGGATAGTGTCACTGAAGCGACCAACATGAATTTGACCCAACTCCGGGGGGCAGTGGAAGACAGGAGGGCCTGGTGTGCTCTGGTCCATGGGGTCATGATGAGTTGGACATGACTAAACAACAACAACAAGCAATTCAACAAACAACCATTGGTTTTCTGAGAATAGCTGTGAAGTCAGCTTCTTTTAAGTTTAATATTAAAATAAGCACATTGTACCTTGACAACATGAATGTCTTGATACTAGTAACTAATCAAGAGGCTCAATAATATAGTCGTAAATATGGGGTGAAGATGATAGTTTTCTAATTGTCTCCCCTCAAGGGTGCTTATGCATGAGTAAGTAGTTGTAGTATCCATGTTAGTCTGTGCAAGCATGGTAGGTGTTTTTCATGTTCCTTGTTGATGATCTCACCCCCGGCACGGTGGTGAAAACATTCAGTATAAAAGTACAGCTCTTCTAGAGTTTAGGTGTAGTTCTTCTTTTTCGTGGTGCTGGGCGGAAGGTGGATGTGGGTTGGTATCTTGTTGGGTTATTTTCTCTTCGTGTTGTGGAGAATGGGTCACCATTAGTTTTTTTTTTTTCACGAGTTAGGTTTTGTACCCAGGCAAAAAAGTGGAGTCAGTTTTCAAGTCAAAGGTCCAACTCTTTAAGTTACCTCTTTGAGGGGGAAAAGGAGAGAAAGGGACATAGCAATTTTAAGACTAATGATTTCATTCCAGGGTAAACTTTTCCATTTCCTCAAATACTGGAGTAGAAATACACAACTGGTATATTGATATGTGTCCCCACATTCAGATCAGGATGCAGGCAAAAACAAAATGGCCATGTTTCATTAGCACGGAAACAATGGTATTAAAATCACTAGAAGGTTTCCTAGAGAAAAATGCTTTCTTCTGCATATCCAAAGATCAAAAGATGTGAAGGAGGAAAATGACAGTATTTCCCCCTTTTTTGCATACTTTGTTTCCTTTTCTGGCCCTTTCTGGTTTATGTAGAGACCTTTTTACCCTTCCAGAGGATTTTTTGTTTATCTTTTCTTTTCTATGCTTGTTGTTTCTCCAACAGATCAGGAAAGTTCTGCCGGAGGACAACCCTATAAATGCAATATTAGTGGCAAATATTTTGCGGAAAGAATGGCACTTACACTTCACAAGATGGTCCGCACTGCAAACATATATTTCAAAAAGGAAGCATCTGGAAAAGACGAGGAGAGCGAACCGCAATTCACGAGCCACCAGAAAATCACCAGAGGAGAGAAAAAATACCAATGTCAAGAATGTGGGAAACGTTTTGCTAGGAATTTCTTCCTTCAAGTTCACCAGCGAGTCCACACAGGAGAGAAACCGTACAAATGCCAAGAATGCGGAAAATACTTTACTTACACTTCAACTCTTCTTGCACACCAGAGTGTCCACACAGAAGAAAAACCATACAAATGTCAGGAATGTGGAAAATCTTTTAAACGCAGTTCACACCTTCTGACACACCAGAGAGTCCACACAGGAGAGAAACCTTACAAGTGTCAGGAGTGTGGGAAATCATTTAATCGGAATTCAAACCTCCTGACACACCAGAGAGTCCACACAGGAGAGAAACCGTACAAGTGCAAAGAATGTGGGAAATGTTTCACATACACTTCAACCCTACTTGTACATCAAAGTATTCACACAGGAGAGAAACCTTACGAATGCCCCGAGTGTGGGATATCTTTTAATCGCAATTCAAACCTCCTGAGACACCAGAGAGTCCACATAGAACAGAAAGCATACAAAGGCCAGGACTGTGGGAAGTGTTTTACTCATAGTTCAAGCTTTCTTGCACACCTGAGTATCCACACACGACCCAAAATATTCAAATGTGAAGAATGTGGGAAATGTTTTGCTCAGACTTCATGTCCTCTGACACCCCAGAGAGTCTACACAGGAGAAAAATCACACAAATGTCAAGATTGTGAGAAAGGTTTAGGTGACATTTCACACCTTATGACACACCAAAAAGCCCACTCTGAAGGGAAACTGTACAAATGCCAGAAGTGTGGGAAATGTTTTGCTCAGATTTCAGGCCTTTTTAAACACCAGAGAGTCCACACTGGAGAGAAACCATACAAATGCAAAGAATGTGGGAAATGCTTTGCCCAGAGTTCACATCTTCTCGGACACCAGAGAGTCCACACTGGAGAAAAACCATACAAATGCCAAGAGTGTGGGAAAAGTTTTGCTAACAATGCAAACCTTCTGACTCACCATCGAATCCACACTGGTGAGAAGCCATACAAGTGTCAGGAGTGTGGGAAATGTTTTACTCAGAGTACGCACCTTCTTGTGCACCAGAGAGTCCACATTGGAGATAAATCGTATCAATGCCAGGAGTACGGGAAACATTTTGCTCAGAATATACACCAGGGACACAAGAGTCACGTCATATAAATGTACGACTGAGGGATTTTTTGTTATTATTTCTGAGTCAGATATTATGTGGCATGAGAAAATCCACACAGGAAAGGTACCAGACAAATGCCAGGGTTATTGGAAATGTTTCACTTCCAGTTTACATCACAGAGTGTAGACAAGGGAAGTGTACACAGGAGAATTATTGCAGTTGTTGAAGTCATTGACGAGTTTTGAATATTCAGTTTTAATTCGTCTTTGCTGCACTTCATGAGAAAATTCACTCCACTCCACTTTCCTTTTAGTGGCTGACTTTTACAGCATGGAGACCCTTCCACCTGTAAAGTTTAAAGCCCGCCAGTTGTTTTGTCAATGGAGTTTTAGAGAAATCAAGATGGTGGTGACTTTTTTCACCGTCACTTCATGACATAATGAAATTTCCCCATTTTCTTATTTTCCTCTTTCTGTACATTGTAAATCATTAGAGGATGGTGAATAGCTGGTCATAATAAAGTGTGCCTTCGGATTTATCCTGGGTATTCTTAATGAAAAGGCTATTTCTGCTTTTGTTGTTTTGGCCTGCTATAATCAGCAAGCACGGTTTCATTCATGGAAGTAGACAACTAAAAGGAAGTTGAATGGGCACCCCTTGAAAGTAAATCCTTTTGCAGAATCCTTTTTCTAAAGAAATCCAGTCGTCAGCTGGCCCTCCGTCTTTCAGAGTTGTACTCACACAGCAATTCTTCACCCTCTGCCTCTTGGCATGGTCTTCTTTGCCTTTAACTCTAGGGTCTCCCAACTGCACAGTCTAATGTGAGAGGCCGTGGAGATAGCCTTCCAACCAGCATTTTTGAGCCTATTGGAAAAGGGAAGGAGTTGAGTGGCCGCTAACTGGCCCCCCATATTTTGTGATCATAGGTT